AAATAAAAACATTCTTTTTCTACAAAAATGATTTTTTATGTTGATAAAAAATAAAGATGGCAAACGTTTGATCGTGTTTTCTCTTTATCCTCATCTTCTCGGTTTTGGAGTTGGTTCAATGGTCTTTTTCCAACTGTAATAAAAAACTCATTTTTTTGACAAATCTTCTCATATTTTCAATGATTTTTCGAAGGTTTATCTCATCAAGGATAAATCGAAATGCTCATTAATATTTCTATTTGCATTCACCAGATAAAGAAGAAGTCTCCATATAATGGGTAATTCTCCATCTGAGCTAAAGATCATCTTTTTCATTCGGTTTTGATTCGATTCACTGCTCATCATTCGACTGGCAATAGTTTTACTCAGAAAGACAATGCGTCACATTTACTGAATAACGGATTCAATAAAAAGAAGACGGAAATAAGACTGACATTGAACAGATAATGTGATTACGAATATATTTAGTGAAGCAACAATGAATCGTTTTATATTTTATAAATGAACCATTAATTTCATAGATAGGACAAATATAACAATTTAAACGATGAGAAAAATTCTTTTTCTGTTAGATTTTCGATCTTTTCTTTGAGGGTGGGTGTGGATGTCGTTGTTCATGACAATAACTGCCACAGCTACACCCGCAAAGCCACATCCACATCCAATCTTTCTATAAGTTTTTATTTAATTTATGATGAAATTAGAAACAATCTAAATAAATATGTATACTTCTCTTAAAATAAAATAAAATTTGTTTGTTTCATGTTTCTGAGAAAAATACTAAAGTAAAACCTATGTATAATGTTTAATATATTTTGTGAGAAAAAAATTTAATTTACAAAATCAAAAGTAGAACATATCAATTTATTATATTATATATAGAATTTTGAATACAATCAAGCTGTAATCATATAAAAAATTTGAACCTCTTAGCTTCCGAAGGAACATTGTATACTATTGAATGGCTTTTGGATCGAGATATTCTTTAATCGATATACCTTAATGAGTTATTAATTATTCAAAAAGAGGTTTAGTTTTCCATACTCATCAGTAAAGATATACATCTATTACTTTATCCATCTTTTGTCTTGAGATATTAAATATACAAAAACAATCATGTATCACAAGGAAACGTAAGAAAACCCAATGTTTCCAATATTCGATATCTCAAGAAGAACACATTTCTTTAGACAGAAATTTCCAGGCCATTCTAAGGTTCACGTGACCTACCTATAGGTAAAGTTTGAGATTGAAATTTCAACGATACAGATAAGAGTACAAATAAGCTGCGTTGTTATTTCGAGATAACGAAGCATTTATTCATCACTCATCCGTTCTTATCTCCAATATGTGCAAAGAAAATTAATTTAGCTGAAAATGAATTAATTTCTTTCAATAAATAATATTATGTTTTTTTTTCCTTAGTTATTCAACTAAATGCATTACTTGGTAAAAGAGGTCATTCTCTAAAAGATTTAAATGATTATTGGGATGTAGCAACTTATTTTGAATTACATGCTGTCCTACATGATTGGTCAAAAGCATGCCAAGCAGCTTTACATATGTATTTACTTAATCCTCCAATATGGTATTTAAAATCTACAATAAATAATTTAAAAATTCTTCATAAAGCAACACGTTTACGCAATCAAGGACGATTATCATATGAACAATCATCAATAACAACTGCTCATGAATATATATACAGTTTTTGGATAGATTTTTTTAGTGAGGCTATTAATTCTAATTCAACATCATGTGAAGAAAGAGAATTACCAGCTCAAGTACCAGTATATTTTCCAAATGAAAAAAAAAACAACGTTGTTCTTTAATAAAAAAAGACTTATTAATTTAGGTTCTTGTTTTTGATAATTATGAAAAAAGTGATTGAGCACAGTAAATAATATTTATGTTGAAGCAAATTTGCATTTAAATTTTCATTCGGGTCAAGAACCTGAAACACTTGTTATACGTATTCTTGAACAACAAAAACATATACGTACAGGTGATCTTGTTAAAACAATTGATATGAATTCAATTCGATCAATTATGTAAGATTTTATGCTAAGAAAAAAACAAAAGAGTAATTTGGAATACATATTTTATTTTATTTTTCTTAATTTTAAGAAATGTTAAACGTAATAATTGATCTTTTTTTTAGTATGCATATGAAAATTCTGAATCATTTTCATCTGTTGAACTTCAAATTTATTTTTCATCAGCTGAACGACGTACAGCGTATGCTGATCTATTGCAAAAGTATAAAGCCGTATTTTTCAACGTGTTTTTTTTTAATAGATTTAATGAAAAAATGTTCAAATATCGTGGAGAAACAAATGCTGAAGAAACTAAATTAGAGTTAAATGTAAGTAATAAAAACCGTAATGAATAAAAATAATGATAGATGTTGTCGAATATGTATAAAAAATTATAAAAAGAATTGTTCTTATCGCTTTCGATGCTCAGTTTTGATAGACGCTTTAAATTTCAGAATATCTTTAATATTCTTGTAATGTTTAAAAATGATTATCCATTGATGATTTATGTGTCAAACATATACATATATAGTATCAATGCGTAATTCAATTCGAAGTAGACTTTACACAATTAACTTATGATTAATATTAACCTCATGAAGAAACTTTATCAACTTGATAATTGATTTTGAGCTCAAACTCTGCGTATAAGGTAGATCCTAATCAGATAAGAAAAACTCTGAAAAGGATAAGGATGTCTAGACTTTTCCTACAGACACAGAGCCGTTTTATTGAAATTTTAGCCTATAGGACGGAATGTACTAAAAAATCAAATAACGATAGTTTGGGTGGGGGTGGGTGCAGGTTTGGGTGGAAGGAAGACGTTCCCGTACCCATACCCACCCACACCGACACCCAAAATGAAAGAAAAACACAATAGTTTGGATTTTTCCAAGCACGCCTGATGTTGATTTTGTTCCCGTATAAATGGTCAACCATAGACACTCAACATTGTCATCACCGATATACGAATGGGTGATTCCGCATCGGAATCGGAATCGGGAATCGACGATTCCGATTTCGATACCAAAAAATTAAAGCATGCCGATTTCGATATAGTTCTGAAAATGATATAGCCAATCCCGATACAGTTTCTATTGCAAGTTAGGGAAAATTTGGAAACGTTGCCATTTTTGGTAGAAGGTTTTTCCTGAAATATGAATCTAAGTTAATTGTTCAGACATTTCTTAAAACAGCAGTTAGGAAAAGTACCAGTGCTAGTGTTTAGAAAAAGAAACATTTCAAAATTAACAGATACTGATTAATCTACAACAGAGGCTGGAACGAATGAAGTATAATTCGAATTCGAGTCGATTTTATTCAACCTACCTTCTCTAAATTGTGAATCGGATCGGCTCGTCTGTATCATCCTTCCATTCGGATTCGATTCGGTTCCGACAAAGATATTTATTCTTCGTTAATTATCGTTTATTTGTCGATCATTCAATCAAAACCGTATGCAATCATGTTTACGTCGTCATTAGTTAAAGACAAAGACCACTTTTGAACGCGAATGTTGAGAAAGCCTCAGTTTCTGTCTGCGTATTTCTTAAAAATTTCGACTCGATGTTATTCTATTTGAGAGCATAATATTCTGTTCGACATTGATTCGATTCGGCTGAGTCAAATCAAATCGAATTATTCCCTTATTTGATTCACTTTCGGTCACTGACTTACAATAATTGGGTATGGGCGATTCCGATTCTGAAATAATTTAAATTGTCCGGTTCTGATACGATCCTAAAAAAATTAGAGCCGATCCCGATACTGTTCCGATGCCAAAAAAAGTTGACTTTGCTCATGCCCACACCGATACGGCCGCTTATCTGAAAACATTATTTGCTTTCGTGATAAAGTTTTATATTATTGTTGTATTTAAAAAGTTTCAAATGCATCATAATAAAACTACTGTAGAACAAAGAATTTGTTTAATAATAATTACTACGTATGCTCATGTGACAGACTGTACAAATATAAATTTCTCATACCTATTCGACAACAGAGACTAGATCCGTTCGGTTTAAATTGAACGGATCCCATCTTTGATATTGAACCTTTGAGAAAATTACTCTTTAAATTTATTCGTTCGAATTTTCTAATCAAAACCAGAGGTCGAATCAAATCGGGTTTTTCTGGTTCGAGTTCAGTTCAGTTCTGCTCGGGTTGATGTTTGAAAGACTAGTTCGGATTTAGTTCGATTCGAGTCTAGGTTTAAAGTTAAATGAAAAGCACAAAACGCGTCGGTGATCTTAACTCTGCATTGTGTTTAATATTATAAAGCACTTATTCAAAACAAAATAATTACGTTAATTGAACGACACAAGATCGATTGCTCAAAAGCAAAAGTTAAGACCAGCAGGTTGAACTTGTCTTCTTCTTCTTCATCAAGACAGAGATAGGATCAATCTGTTTTGACTTGATTTACCCTCACCCTCGATAAAAAAGAAGTTTAAAGAAAAATTAATTAATGAAGGATAATATCGAGTTTTTTTTATAAATTGCATCTGATTTTTTTAGGTGCTGATACTGAAAGTCTTGCCTATTAGAAACAGAAAATGAATGTTTTTTACCTTGATTAAAGGCAAAAAAAATCAATTACAAATCCACTCCTAATAAACAAGCAAAAATTTGTCGATATTCTTCAACAAAAATACAATCATCACCAGTAGGTGTAACGGTTAAAGATTGGCGTAATCTTTTTAATAATTGCTGTCCTTTGTCCATTTGTGATGTTCGATGATAAAGCGAAAATAGTTCTAGAACACCTTTAAATAGAAAAGGAGTTAACAGTTCAGCATTTGTTGATAGATCAAATTCATGTATCTCGAGAAGTTTTTTGTAAGATTTAATTGCATTCTGAGTGTCATTGGTGTCACTGTACATTTTGCCTAGAAAAAGTTGAAAGCAAGACATTTAATTTTCATAGAGACAACGTTTTTGGTAAGGTTCTAGGAAGCACATGCAAAAAGTAAAAGAGAAGGTACTTGAAAAGTTTGGGGGTTTGGGAAAAATCGGATTTCGACTGAGACCATCGAGCATCTTTGAGGGTCGCTCGAGGCTTTTCGCTGCTCCTTTTTTGCAAAAATATTGCACTATGCTTAGTAGAATCATGTTAGAAATTGTTAGCGACTCCAAACGATTGTGTACGCGAAAGTGCTTTAAAGCTTTTAAAAGGCGTTTTTCAAAGCGAGCTGAAAATAGAAAGCACGTTTGCTTTTACCAAGGTATGTTTTGGCTCGTAAAAATCGCGCATATCTGGTATTTCGAAAACTGGAAAACGGTTGTTTCAATACATCTATCTTTCAACCTCACCGCTCCCAAGGCTTAGTTTATTTTATTTTGAATCCTGATAACATTAAATGCGTTTCAAATCTACAAGAATTTTCGATGGGAAAAGTAATTTTTAGTCCTAAAAAGTGTTTTCCCGACTTTTCTCAAATTCAAGCGATAATTTTCTACATAATTTTATCCGTTGCATATTCTGCTAGAGCAGTTGTTCTTGAGGGTTATCGACATATTTTATTTTTCATTATCTCAAATTTCGTCAGTAACTGAGAAGAATTACACTGCTCATTACTGAAGAAATACTCATTCAACGTCATATTTAATGCCGATTACAAACGCAGTATAGATAAAGTCTGAGTAAAAATTGCAAAATCCGATTTCCAGTATTAAACAACTAATACCGCAAAGGCAAAGAGTGGAATAACCTTGCGAGCACAAGTCGCGCTCAACTATTGTCATCGAAATAACGGAAGTTCGGTCCTTACCTCGTACAAATCCTCTTCCTAAGATATCGAGCCGAGTTCTTTTGTTTGATGATGATTGCAAATTTGTGCAATCAGATTTTATTTCCTATTTTAATTATTTCCACTTATGAAAAACTATAATGTAAAAACTAAAAAAATCCTATGTGTACCTCAGTTCGAACTAAATAATGTCATGAGAGAAGATTTATTTTTCACGCTTAAAGAGAAACTGTTCGTGCAAAACTCTAAGCTTTTTAGTCTTATTTTACAAATTTTAAATTCATTTAAAAGCTTTCAACTCGTTCAAGTATCTGAAATTTACTTACCTAAAGCCATTAACGGCTCAATTAATCCCAATCGATACTTTTCTCTTCCTGATTCCTTATAAGTATATTCAATATTTGTCATCATTTTCAACATATCACCAATTGCTTTTTCCGGATTTTGATTAATTTGCTCAAGCATTATGAATCTATATTTCTCTTGATACTTATCAAGTAGTAGCTTTCGTTTTCTACGAATGGCGGCTGGTTCAGCTCGATCTAATTCACATAATGTGCAAGTACAAATAAATTTATGTTTATCCAAACATTTTGTACGTTCTTCATATTGAAGTAAAATATCAGCATATGTTAAGAAAAGTTCCGTACCCTGAGTTAAATCATATGCAGCACGAACAATCATCATATCCCCAATGTAACTTCTTATAACGTTTTCACAACAGGCATGATTGATAAAAGATGGTAGAAGAAAAAGACCAGCAGCATCTGTATTTTTCGAGCTTTTTGATTTCGTTGGTTGTATGAGAGAGGGATTGACACCATCTTCTGATACACCAAATGTATTCATTGAACAAATATCAGACACCCAAAAAGAATCAATTGCTTCTGCTGTAGCTGTTGGTGGTGTTTCGCCGATTCTGTGTTGTCCAGCATAAAGTTGAAAAAAAGAAGATGAAAGAGATGGATTGTTCTGAAGTTTGTTAATAACTTGTGCTGTATTCACACCATGATCTCCAGTTTCAACAAGTTTTGTTACTGCATTAAAATGATAAACTTGACTACATTCCGTTGGATAAGTAATTGAAAATGCTTTGGAACATAGTAATAATTGACCTTTACGAACATCTTCAGTAAGAACTAAACCTCGACCTCTTTCTGTTGAAATCTAGAAAAAGAGATAGAGCAGAGAGGAAGCTCGAAAAATGGTGTGCCATTTCCGACGACTTCTTTCGGTTGAGACATATATCAGATACTATCCATGCATCGGTACTTCTTCGAAACTACGTGATGTGTTTAAGGTCATTATTTCAACCTACGATTTTTGATCGATATGACTTATAACTGATCCAGAGTAAAGGACAACTTGAACACTAAGGAAAATATCGACAGTGAGATTTTCGAAACTATCTAGAGGGATGCTTACACTATTCAATGACCTGTTAATTAGCAAAAGAACTTTGTTCTAGTACACAGAAAAGGATTTTCAGTTGATTTTTACAAAAAATTTACAGAGGTGAAACTTTAAAAACACGAATTTTCCTGCAAAAGTCAACAGAAGATTTTTCTGTGTGCTTTTCATTGGACAAAAAATCGAGTCGCAAAATGTCGTGAAATTTCTGCTCTATGCGCAAAAATGATTTACTTTTAATAATGGAGAACTGATTTGTGAATAAAAATCATATGGAATTCCTCAAGTAAAGTATTTTTGCTCAACTCTCCTTCCGAAATTAATGAGAAAATCAAGAGATCTATAATCAAAATAAAACTGTTATATATAACTCACCTCAGTAATTTGAACCGGTCCAACATAAGACGCATTATCAAGACGAGGAGTTGACGATTTTTTGGCTTCTTCAATCATTTGATTAAAATTGTAAAGACCTTTTCTTTTTTCCTCAATTCTCGTCACAATTGAAGTTAATTCTCGGTGACCATCAACGTTCTTAAGATCTATTTTTAATAACTTCTTTACTTGTACTAAGGCTTCATCGTAATTCTCTAAACCATAGAATGCTTTGACACATCGGTACAAAGCTTTAATGTTACTTGGATCATTTTTTAAAATATCTTGACAGTCATTTAAAGCACCTTCGAAATGATGAACTTTTAGGTGAGCTTGTGAACGGTTCAGTTTAAGAAGGGAGATTTCTGGATCAGAAGTTTCAGATGATGAAATACCCTAAAAAAAGAACAATGAAAAGTTCGTTAAACCTCATATACAAGGTGACAAGCGGCTCAAGAAAAAATTGAAGCAAAGTTTCATTGAACAGTGAAACCTTTCAAGCCTGACATCGTATCACTACAATATTTAATAATTTGAGTGCGACTTTTCGAGCTTTATCACATTCGACCAGTTTCTTTAAGTGAGTACACTGTAAAAAAAAAAGGGTAGACCAATAAACCCTTGCCCTATCTATAAATATTCATAAACCCTTCAAGGGTTTATGATACGAAGCTTATATGAAAACAAAAAGGGTATTTTATTTAAATATTCAAGGATAAGGGTTTATCATTGCTCGCAAAAGGGTATATTATTCTACGATTTCAATAAAAGGGTTTATTAGTTTCCATGGAAGGGTATATTATTCTACGATTTCAATAAAAGGGTTTATTATTTTGCCGGACAGGGATCCTTTACCTCCCATTTCACGAACAGAGTTGATTATTATACATCACCGTAAAAATGCTTTGTTATAGCTAGTCGAACAACGTGTTCAACAGAAGTAAGTTAAAATTGAAACAAACTAAATCTTTTAGTTTGTTTAGATATTGTTGAACAACATGTTCGACAATAAGTCAGTTTGAAATAAAAAAAAATTATTGTTTTTGTTTATTTAGATTTAGTCGAACAACTTGTTCAACAAGAAGTAAGTTAAAATTGAAACAAACTAAATCTTTTAGTTTGTTTAAATATTGTTGAACAACATGTTCGACAATAAGTCAGTTTGAAATAAAAAAAATTATTGTTTTTGTCTATTTAGATTTAGTCGAACAACTTGTTCAACAAGAAGTAAGTTAAAATTGAAACAAACTAAATCTTTTAGTTTGTTTAGATATTGTTGAACAACATGTTCGACAATAAGTCAGTTTGAAATAAAAAAATTATTGTTTTTGTCTATTTAGATTTAGTCGAACAACTTGTTCAACAACAGTAAGTGTGAAATTTGAAATTAAATTATGTTTTACTTTGTTTAGATTCGGTCAAACAACTGGCTCAACAACGGTAAGTATAGAATCAAAATAAAATTGTGTTTTGTTTTATTCAGATATCATCGAACAATTAGCTCAACAACAAGTAAATATGAAATTGTAACTAAAATTATCTTATATTTTATTTAGGTATAGCCGAACAACTTGTTCAACAATAAGTAAGTAAAGATTTAAAACAAAATTATGTCTTGTTTTATTTAGATATCGTCGAACGATTATTTCAACAATAAGCAAGTATACAATTTGAATAAGATTTTATTTTATTGTATTTAGATGTCGTCGTCGAACAATTGGCTCAAGAATAAGTAAGTAAAACATTTGTAATAAAATATTTTTTTATTTATTCAGAGTTCGCCGAGCCATTCATCCAACAGTAAGTATTTCTTAATCCTTCACAAGGGTATATGAAAGGGTTTTGGAAATCAAATACCCTTTCATAAACCCTTCCCAAGGGTATATGAAAGGGTATATTAAAATCAAATACCCTTTCATATACCCTTCGAAGGGTTTATGAAAGGGTATATGAAAATCAAATACCCTTATAAGGGTTTATGAAAGTGCAACGTAGACTAAACCCTTTAAGGGTTTATGAAAATCAAATACCCTTTCATATACCCTTCGAAGGGTTTATGGAAGGGTTTACGAAAATCAAATACCCTTTCATATACCCTTCGAAGGGTTTATGAAAGGGTTTATGAAAATGTTGACATACGGTAAAAAGGGTTTAGTCTACGTTGCACTTTCATAAACCCTTTAAGGGTTTATTATTCTACCTTTTTTTTTTACAGTGTATGTCAGGAATCCCCAACCTTTCTCTTAAATATTCTGTCCTACAGCTCGTTACAGTGCAGTTCAGCAGATTCGTGCATCCTTCAAAAGAACCTCATTTGTCTATAGCCTTTGGTGTCTATTAAAGTGTCTTTCTCACCTTGAATCTAGACCCTCAAAAAAAGGACAAATTCTAGGCCTGAACCACGGTTAGAATCGTCCGTTCGGAAAAAGGTGAAATTTTCACTTTTCCATAGCAAAACCGTCAATTTTTGAGATTTCAGGTGAAGTTTCCACTTTGTTGTTTCTCATTGAAGGGAAAAATCGACTAAAAAACTTTCACCGCGTTTGGTAATTGGATTACAATTTTCAGTGCGGAAAAGAACAACCTGTCAGTTCATTTTAGAGATGAAATTATCAAAAAATACAGTGCAGAACTGCCAGTTTTACGTCAGTTTAACATCGGTCGGATATAAGTGGCGTCAAAATTTTGGGATTGGGCATAACCGTGACCTGAATCGTCGGTTTATACCAATGGCTCAGAACCTTGTGTAACATACGCTTGCGAAGACGATAAGTTTGCAGAGAAAAAGCTCGAAGAGTCATAAATTTGTGCTTCTGAGTCTTAATTGTGAAGGTGGACGGAAAGCGTAAATCGCTGATATCTTAAGGGGGGCCCCCTCAGAAAATCCAATTTCTCGGAGACGAGTCGAAATTGAAGTTTTATCATAGAAAGATGCACCGAAGTCTCCTCTTTCAGAATATCTATGATTTATCAAAAAATGAATTGATTTTGACGAACTTATCGTCTAAAACTTGGCTTCTACTATCGTATTTTTCGAGAAATTTTCATGGTTTTTTTTCAAGTTTTTTTCACTTTTTAGGCTCCTTTCTCTTTGCATCAGCATTTCGTAAAGTTTATTTTTATACTAATCACTACGAGACTATTAAAACTTAATATTAAGATCACATATTTATAGCCTGTCTTGAGCACTGATATATAAATCAGGTGATTTTCCGAAAAATCGATTTCTAATACTTATTTTTCATTTTTCTCAAAATCAACTTTTACGTCGCGAAGTTTACGCGGGCAGGTTTTTCTCCATAACGATTCGACATGGAAATGATAATTTTTTTTTATTATATAGGTGACATGCAGGGCTAGGCCTTGACAGGCTCCGATTTTTAAATTTATCTTTTGCTGAAATAAAAAGCTGAGACACTTTATTTTCATTAGCACCTTGAATTTGAAAGTTTTTCGAAAAACGTCTTTTAAAAATCAAATAAAGGGAAACTCAAAAATCGGATCTTGTCAAGTCCTAGCCCTAAGGGCACTCTACAATCCGAAAGCTGCCCCGTCACTCTAGCTTGTATCTTTATTGCAAAAAACTTGCCCTATTTTTGACCAATAAAGAGCCTAGAACTCATGTATAACTTTGAGATTTGGAGGAGATATTTTAACGATAACCTATTCTAGCCAAGACTAACATTCTCTGAAATTTTCGTTGAAATCGGATGAAAAATAGCAAAGTTCGTTCCTGAGGGGGGCCCCCCTTAAGAATTTTCTTCGAGTTCAGACTTTTGATCGAATTTTCAAAAACAAAAAGTCTCTTATCTAACTGATAGAAAATTTCGAGACTTACATCTGAGTAAGCTTTAATAGCTTCGTAAAATTTGCCTTTTTTAAAATAATCATTTCCAAGTGTCTTGTATTCAGCAGCTGTTAGAATTTTGTGAATTTTTGGTGTTCCAGTTTTCCAATTGAGATCTTGTACCATTGAATTATTTGTATCCAAAAAGATTAAATCAGTTGGGTGATCACATCTTAAAGAAGTTTCTCTTTGAGCAGATATTTTATAGTATGGTTCTTTCAGTATAATAATACTGTTATTTGGAATTATATCTTTATGAGATCGATTAGGATTTTGATTGTATAATTCTAACACTTCAACATCACCGTTGGGATCTTCAACGACAGTTTTAATTTCCACAATCTTTTTTGGATGAACAATTGTTCTTAGAAGAAGATATTTTCCACGATGAACAGTTTCCAGTACTAAATCGGTTAATGGTATTCGTTGTAGGCAGGAAAGGGGTTGTGTGCATGGTGAATAAACAAAACTTGTAATCCTTTCATGAGCAACAAGTGGCTGACAATCATTTTCATATGAATATTGCCGATCATGTATTTGAATTAATTGAGATCGAGGTATTCGATGAGTTGGCTTTTTTCCTTGCATACTTTTGGATGTTTCCAAATTTATCGCCGCTCGAATAAGGAATTCAGCAGTATTTTCCATTTTAGAATGCAATGAGTCTAGAAAAAAGGTCAGACAACATTTTTAACAAGTGCCGGTTATGAAAAATATAAAAACTAGTAAAATGACACTAGCAGTCTATGGTGAGATGCAGAGAGTGGATTCTTGCCTTTGGCTTGAAATGAGTTCAACTAAATCGGACGGAATAATCAGGTGCCGATTCGAATCAGTAAAATATTTAAAGTCGATTCGGTGATCTTACACTCTTCGGAAATTCTAATGACTGAAAATCAGTTGTATTCACCAGTTTAAACTATTTTTGCGCATATAGATCTGCTATGCTTCGTTTTGGATCAGCATAATCGAGAAATGAAAAGAACCTTTTTTCACGTAGAAAAGAGTTTCAGAAAAAACTAGTTGAAGAATATTGTTGTCTATTCATTTCTTTAAACTAGATATTTTTTTCACCTATTTTTTATTTGTTTCGAATGATTAAAGCAATCGGCACTATCTGAAGAACCGTTAGGTCTGAACTAGTGTCAAAACTATGAAATCGGTTTCAAACCATGTCATGAAAAAAGGAGGCGGAGTGAAGTATGTACGTGCACTCGGAAGATCTATAAAGCAAAAAATGTCGTCAGAATTATTTGTCAGAGCTACAATGAGTTAAGAAATTTAACAACACGCGCAACTAGGACAGCTAGTCAGTTTCATTCGAAAATATACTGTTTTAGTAACAAGTCCTCCTTTTTTGTCCTTATAAGAAAGTCCCTCTGGGTTTTTCCCCTGTTCTCTTGCAATCGTGTTTAAAGTTTACCTAATATTTTTTTATAATTTAGAAAAAGAGCTTATATGGTCACTTCACTTTCAATCACTATTCTAAGGTAAAATTAGCAAGAGTCCGCAGATACATTGGAGTTTGAATCTAATTTAGAATATCCAAGGGGGAAAAGGCGGTACTCCAGTACTCCATACTCCACCGGTACTCCACTCTACTCCACCGGTACTCCACTCGTACTCCACCAGTACTCCACTCTACTCCACTGGTACTCCACTCTACTCCACCAGTACTCCACTCGTACTCCACTCGTACTCCACTCTACTCCACCGGTACTCCACTCGTACTCCACCGGCACTCCACTCTACTCCACCGGCACTCCACTCGTACTCCAATTGTACTCCACTCTACTCCACGGGTACTCCACCCATACTCTACTCTACTCAATTCGTACTGTACCAGTAGTCTACTAGTAATCCATTATCATTTACTCAACTAGAGAAAAACGAGATTTCAGAGTAGTCTATTCCTCTAGCACGTAGTCTAATCAGGGTATTTGTAAAATACGCGAACATCCCCAAATCAAGAGCTGATAAGAGAAGAAGATAGAGCTCGTTGAGTGGATTCTACGAACACCCACTATCACCCAAAATAGTTGAAAATTAGAAACATTTTCTAATGCACACTTTTTTTTCAATCCACGAACACCCATATCTTTTGCCTATGAGTAGTAGACCTACTCGAGTTATATAAATACATAAAATGTCAGGCCCTTATAATTCTGCCTCAAAAAAATAGAACATGAAAATAACGAATTTTTGGTAACTTTGGTGATTCATAACTTTTAATGGGATGAGATAGAAGTTTGATATTTTTACTGTAAATAGAGCACCAAAAGTTAAATGTCTCCTGAAAATTTCAGTGATACAAACTATTTCGTTTGGGCAGGATAGTTCTCTCAATAATGGGTTTTAGATTCCATTTGATGGTTTTCAGGATAGGCTATCTCCCAGAATAGCCATCAGTTTCGAAGTTGATGTTTACATATCGGAAGTACTCTCTTTAATCTATAACCCTACAAAAAATTAGAATGGTATCTGATAAGATGACCCCAGGAGACTTCTTGAAAAGTACCAAAAAACGAACTCTGTGTGTACAGGAAATCCATCAAAGTTCCATTAGAGGTTTCTCGAAGGATTTCACCTAATGAGATAAATTCTACTTAGTAAAAATCAGCGCGTGATTTTATATGGTTCTACATGAAAATATTCTTTCGAAATCAGAAACCCCTGTATCCACCTCCAGGCCTCTTGACATAGAATTTTTTTCCCTGGAGGGGGCTACGGCAATTTTTCAAAATTTTGTTTTTCATTTTGAAAGATTATTTTCATGAGAGAAGGTACCGGATCAGCTGCTGATTGTTACTAGGTAGAATTTATCTGATTAGGTGAAATCCTTCGAGAAATTTGTAATGGAACTTTGATGGATTTCCTATGCACGCAGAGTTCGTTTTCTGGTACTTTTCAAGAAGTCTCCTCGGTTCATCTTATCAGATACCATCTGGCATCCCACTCCGCCTCTTTTTCCTCTTTTCTCTTGAAATTCCTCTTTTTAGCCTCTTTTTTCAGAAACATCTTGTATTTCCTCTTTTCTCACGAAAAAAGTAGGTTGTTGGCGAAAATATCCACGAATATATTGATTAATGTTAACATATCATAGAAAAAGATCACATAATACAAACTGATGTGCAGATCAGTGCAGTTGTATAGTTAAGAAGGCTAAACTATATGATTTTAGTAATCAACTTCAGCGATGTTTTATATCTCTATTTGGGACCCAATATTTGTAGCTGTCAATGGGAAGCAAAATCGCTCAATTATATTTCCCATGTGAACTCGTCATTTTCTCATAATTTTGTCAAGTTTTTCTCGTTAAAATCGACATGCAAAATGATAATGTTAAGCTTGCTTTTCTTGACCATTTTCTCGGCTCTGGTAAGCTTGTGATATGAATCTAACAATGGATAACTAACTCGTAGTGTAACGCATGCGTCAAAGTGAGAAGAAGTTCCCAGGGTGGCTAGACCTACCATAGAATCCTGCCAGATCCGATGGGATTTCGTTGATAAGATATCTTTCAACAGTATGATGTCATAAGTTGAAGATTTCTGTTTATCATATACTGATACAAGTTTTCATGTTATATCGGGCAATATCTGATTCTTCAAAACTATAGGGTTGATTACAGATCTCGTGGTATGCTACTAGCTTACCTTACGTGATTAAGTTACTATCAAAATGAAGTAACTTCTCTCCTTCCGAGTTTCTCCGTATACAATCACACTTTGGGCGATTGTGTATCTCCAAACCATACACGGAGAAATATAATCGTATACGAAGAAATACAGAGTAAAACGAAAGCTGTAGACGAGCTTTGTTTGTCGATAAACGATAGTATTTCTACATACATGATTACGGAGTTATACAATCACAATACTGAATGATGTTAAACGCCATATTTCTCCGATTACAAGAGTGTTTGCTTGGTATGGGTTAATATTGATAACGGTTCTATGATACTTAGAAGAAATCCGATATGATGGAATGCGATGGCAACAAACATCGATGTTCGATGATCAAAAAGCATGAGATCATACAATCTATCCAATACAAATAAGGTGTTTTCTACAGAACGCAGGAAGACTACCATATTTCACTGGAAAAAATACAGCGTTTTCAATAGCACGAGGTTAAATGATTTCTTACAAACTTCCTGTCTGGGCATCATCGCAACCAATGCATTAATTTACGCTGGGAAACGAAAAAGTGAAACTGATATGTGAAAAATGATCAAAATCATGGAAGAATTGCTGAAAATTGAAAAAAAACGGAAAATAGTTTACTCAAATGTTCAGTCCTTCGAAAAAGGAACAAAAAGCAAAAAAAGACATTTTATGGGTTCTGATTGTTTCTGTTTCTGTGTGTATAGTTAGTCAGATAGAGTAATATTATAGTCAGATACTATACAAATAGAATAGACTATTTTTCTAATGTTTTCCCGTTTTCTAATGCATGCATAAGCAATTGCACAAAAATCTCTATGAACAAATAGAAGTTTTGTTTCTTTTTTTTGTACTCTTTGAAGTCATATTCAACCTATATTGAATGCGAGCGAGTTTTGTCGGATTTATAGTACTATTCTGCCGATGGATTTCACTTTTCTTCGGACGAAAACTGTATGCTTCTTTTTCTCCTCGTTTTTTTATTAAAAGTCCTCTTTTGTCCAAGAATGCTCAGCCTCTTTTTTTCTCTTTTTTTACCAAGTGTTGGTGGGATGCCAGGATACTATTCTAATTTTTTGCAGGGTTACAGATTAAAGAGAGTACTTCCGATATGTAAACATCAACTTCGAAACTGATGGCTGTTCTGGGAGATAGCCTATCCTGAAAACCATCAAATGGAATCTACAACCCATTATTTGGAGAACTATCCTGACCAAACGAAATACTTTGTGTCACTGAAATTTTCAGGAGATATATACCTTTCGGCATAGATGGAACAGGTACCGGGAATCGGCCGGTCTATTACCGATCTGAAACCGGTCTGAATCCACTCTATCGGCTTATAACGGTTTCTTTTCCAGCATACACCTTGAACGGTCGCTTACTCTTAAACTTGATAAATTTACTCGTGTTCTGCTAAAAGAAAAGTTTTGGAGGAAAAAATAGAATTCCATGGAATTTGACCAAAGATAATCGAGGTCGAGAAATATAAATCTGCAGTATGTTTTGTCAAATTATGTGCCCGATCTTTTCGTTCTGTTCTCCTACAATCGACTTGAAAAGTAAAAAGTTTCACAATAGAATTTGAAAGACTAATTAAAGATTCGTACTCGTCTGCCCTAATTGCCTTCGGCCAAACTTTATAAAAAGTTACTATTTCTCTGAAATACCTATACTTTAGCACTAAAAAAGAAAATTAAGAGATTTTATGATTTCTGTCGTATTTTACTGGCAGACTGATTTTTTACCGATAGACCGGTTTCATACCAGTAGACCGGTCTTTTGCCGGTAGATCGGTTTCTACCGGTAGACCAGTTTCATACTGGTCGAATCGGTGACCGGCCACTCCGATCCGGTCTGAACCTTCCAGAGCGGTACCGCTACCGGTCGTCAAAAAACTAGAGCGGTCCCATCTATGCTTTTCTGTGCTCTATCTACAGTAAAAATGTCAAACCTCTATCTCATCCCCATCAAAGGTTATGA